TGATGCCTATGCAAACTAATAGTTCTTTTAGAAGGTGTTGGTAATAACCACAGGCAACACCACATTACACATAATAAAACATGTGATTTGTATTCACATAGAAAGTTTGGCACTACTGTTACTTAGTTTATTTAGAAGGCCATGCTGATTCAACATTAGCCTTGTGGTGGTCTTTACTATTTACAATCAAGGCCACAGAATATAAAGACTACTTTAAGATTGGGATTGCTAGCCAGGTGGAGTGGCACATGCCTGTAATCCCAGCAGCTTGAGAGGCTGAGACAGGAGGATCGTGGGTTCAAAGCCAGCCTCAGCAATTTAGCGAGGCCCTGAGCAACTTGGTGAGACTCTGTCTCTAAAATACAAAAAAAAAGGGCTGGGGATGTGGTTCAGTGGTTAAGTGCACCTGAGTTCAATCCCTGGTACCAAAAGAACAACAACAAAACTTTGGTATTGGTTATGGAGAGAATTCTCAGTGCTGAGTAACCTTGGGTCCTAGGTTTATGTTTAGTGCATATATAACTACATTTGATAATTTACATCTGTGTGCTTATCAGATTTTGCTACAGATTATAATTTTATTGTACTGTATAGTTGTATTATGCTTTTCCCTCTAGATTATAAATTCTTGAAGGGCTGTAAATATAAAATAATCTTTGTATCTTCCACAAAACCTATTGCACTGTGCCTAATCAAGGTGAATGGAATGCATTTTTGTGTAATTATATTGTAATCCCCAGTTCTAACTCTTCCTATCAAAGCAGCCACTAGATTTTTAACTGTTCTATATGAGATGAGATTAATATCAGATATTAGCCAATGTCACATTAGCTAATAAGATTATAGGTCACCTTGTATATTTCTGTCTAGCTTTTATAGAGATTGAGGTTCTTGGACCTATTAAACATGAAGTTATGCTGTTTGGGATGATTAAAACTGAGGTTCTGTTTGTTCTATTTTATCTTTTATATGTTATTTCATAGCAGTGGTCCAGGTGCATGTTAGGCTCCCAAGTCAGTTTGATTTCTCTTATACTATCACAATACTACCTGTAACTTTTTTTTAATAGTAGGCTATGGTTATTCATATACATATCTTGTCATCTAATCTGCTATAAGCTCATTGAGGTTAGCTGTGTCAAACTTAATCCCTTCTCACAGGTATGATATAGTATATACTCTGAAGTACAAAGAATACATGTTCTAGGGCTAGGGTTGTAGTTCAGTAGTAGAGCATGTGCTTAGTATACAAGAGGCCCTGGGTTCAATCCCCAGCGATAGATAGATAGATATAGATAGATAGATAGATATAGATAGATAGATAGATAGATATACATACATACATACATATATCTGGACCGGGGTACATGCCTGTAATACCAGCAACTTGGGAGGCTGATGCAGGAGGATTGCCAAGTTCAAGGCCTCAGCAACTTTGTGAGACCCTGTCTCAAAATAAGTTTTTTTTTTTTTTTTTTAAGAGACTTGGGATGTAGCTCAGTGGTAGAGTGCCTCTGGGTTCAGTCCCCATTACCCCCCCCCCCAACACACACACGAAAAATATACACCAGGTGCCGTGGTGCATGCCTATAATCTCAGCAGCTCAGGAGGCTGAAGCAGGAGGATCGCAAGTTTAAAGCCAGCCTCAGCAGTTTAGCAAGGACCTAAGCAATTCAGCAACACCCTGTTTCTAAATAACATATAAAATGGCTGGGGATGTGGCTCAGTGGTTGAGTGGTTAAGCACCCTTGGGTTCAATCCCCAGTACCAAAAAAAAAAAAAAAAGGATATACACCCCTATATATAAATTTTCTTGTAGTGCCTAGTTATTACAAATATCCATTTATAAAACAAAATTGTGACTAAAGAATTTCAACGGTTGTATTTTTTTTAGTTGTAGATGGACACAATACCTTTATTTTATTTGTTTTTATTCTTATGTGGTGCCAGGGATCAAACCCAATGCCTCACACATGCTAGGCAAGTGCTCTACCACTGAGCCACAACCCCAGCCCCTCAAGGGATATATGTGTTATACATTTTATTCTTGCCTTTTGGGAAGAGTTTTATTAACATTTTTTATACTTGAAACAAAAAATAAATAAATCTTTAAAAATATATAGGATTCAGTAAAAAACAACAAATCCATTCTTTGACATGTAAGTCCATTTTGATTGGGGTCAAAACCTTTGAATTAGAAATCAGTTTGTTGGGGGTTGGGGAAATAGCTCTGTTGGTAAGAATGCTTGCCTAGCATGCACAGAGCCCTGGGTTTGATCCCCAGCGCCACCAAAAAACAAAAACCACTAAGAAATCAGTTTGTTGTGTTGACAGAGATAGAATTACTATTTTGCAGTACATCCCTGCTGATCTGTCTGTATTCTTCAACTATATGTCTGTGATGAATGTTAGACAGAATTCACATTCACTTTTTGAAACCAGATTCCCAAGTTCCTAGACTACTTATAGAACCTGTAGCCAGGCATTGACCCATTTTTATAGATACAGTAGTCTTTGAAGAATCCTGGGTGAGTCTTAGTTTGGATTTGTGGCAGTGAGTAATTGGGTGAAAAGGGTGAGTCAGCTTCAAGGGAGTTATTTTGGTACTCTGGATCTTGATATTAAGGCAATATGAAATGGTATATTTCTGTTCTTGTCAGGTGATGCAGATATATTCTGATGAGCCTGACATGAATGTTTATTGTATTATCTTATAAAATCAGTCTGTCTTCTATCAAGTTTAGTTCAAAACTTGAACTAAATTTCAGTTTATAAAATTTATAAACTCAGTACATGTTGTAAAATGTTCTTAGAATGCTCTTGTGCATGACACAAATGTCCCATTTTGAATTTTTTAGTAAATGTGTTCTGATGTAAACATGAAATGAATGTTTAGCAAATATATTAGCACTTAATCTTAGAGGTTTTGTCATAATTCTTCCCCCCCAATAGAAAAATTTTCTGCTTATTAATTAAAATGTGTGTTTAAAAACAAATAAATATTGACTGCTGAAGTACTACAGGCTGACAACATATAAAAACCCACCAAAGTCTGAACTCAAAATGGAGCTTTTAGGCTCGAAAAAGAGACAACATGGAACTCAATTTTTCAGCAGTAGAAAACTCAGAATCTAACTGGATTATGTGAATAATATTTTAACCTTACATATGTAATTTTTAGATTTATTAAAAGTCAAACTACTTGTCCTTAAGCACCTAATACAGTGCTAACTTCAGGAAGAAGTATTTGATAGGTATTAACTGATAGATTGAGATTTCATTATGATTTGGCCAGTATTTCTTGAAAGCTGCCATATCACCAGCTACTTAAATATGGTAGTTTTGAATATCATGGGATATATAGTGTTATAATCCTTCTTGATTTATTTCCCCAAATAAGCTTTGAATATTTCACTTTAATTTAATGTATCTTCTTTGGGAGGGGTTAGGGATTGAATTTAAGGACGCCTTACTACTGAACTATATCCCCAGCCATTTAATTTTAAGACAGGGTCTTGCCAAATTGCTGAGACTGGCCTCTAACTTGTGATCCTCCTGCTTCTGCCGCAGTCTGGCTGGGCACAAAATCATGAGCCACTCAAACAGGAACAAACTTTATTTTTGAAACTCCCGCCAATGCCCTGTATGCTCCCGGGAAATATGCCAACCCACACACGCGGCCGACACACACACCAACAGGAAATCCCTCCTCCGGAATTCCCTCCTACCGCACTTCCCCAACCAATGGGAACTCTCTAGGAGTCCCGTAGCAGGCCTAGGTGGACAGCAGGGGTCTAATATCCATTTGAATGCAGATCTTAACATAATCATATCATCTCAATGGCTTGCCATTCACCTTTCAACCAAAAATGCCATGCATCATTACTACTTGGCTATGGCTCTTAGCATGCTTCAGCCTTCCAAGTTGCTGGGATTACAGGTGTATGCCACTGTGCCCAACAATTTAAAGTATCTTTTTAAAGTGTCCTATACTTTTTGAGGTGTAAAGAACTAAATAAAATCAGTATAACTCCTTTCCAAAGATAACAACTTTTATAATTTTGTTGTATTTTGGGGGGGAGGTGTATAGGTGTATATACAATATTTGTAAAAAAATCAAAGTACATTTTGTCACCACAGGTACCACATTATTGGGGTTTAATATTTTGTATGTGAGGTCTGGGACATACCAAGACAACCAATATGTGTTCCTATTCAAACTTTTGGAGTATCTACCTTAAAGGCACCTCATGATTTGATTATAATCTCAGATTTTAGTTTTTAAAGGATCATTTAGCTTTTTTGGTATTTGTTTTTCCTCTACTTTGAGATAAAAGAGGCTATTTGTATTTGAGATGGGTCACAGCAATTTTTGTTCTGTATGGCATATTAACTTATTAGACTATAGTGTACTAAATTTTTAAAATAAATTTTTAAATACACTCAAAAGTGAAGAGAATAATGTAGTGAATCACTCATTTAATATTACCAATGTTTGCCACATTTATCTTACCTCTTTAAAATTTTTCTTTTTCACTTTGTGACCTAAAGGAAATTTCACATCATGTTTTTTTTTTTTTACTTCTACATTCTTGGACTGGGGATATAGCTCAGTTTGTAGAGGGCTTGTTTCGCATGCACAAGGCCCTGGGTTTGATCCTCAGCACCACACACACAAAAAATACATTCTTCATTATTCATGTCTTATGATATATGGTTTTATTAAATAACTATAATGGGGCTGGGGTTGTAGCTCAATGGTGGAGTGCTTGCATAGCATGTGTGAGGCACTGGGTTTGATCTTCAGCACCACATTAAAAAACAAATAAAATAAAGGTTAAATTCTTTAAAAAACTGCAATGTATTATATTACAAAATTAACAGTTCTTGTTATTATCTCATACCTAAATTTCTCTGGCAAACTAAGATTTATCATCTATCTTTAATTGGATGTTTGTGTTCTTTAATGTTATCAATTAAAACATCTCATTTCTTTTTTAGATTAGTGATGATGAACCAGGGTATGACCTGGATTTGTTTTGCATACCTAATCATTATGCTGAAGATTTGGAAAAGGTGTTTATTCCTCATGGACTAATTATGGACAGGTTAGTAAGATCTCAAGTTGAAATTTACTTTTTCTTATATTAACTTCATGTGTCAGCAACTGTTGAGTAGTTCATACTTGGATATAAACTAAGCCAACTTGTTAAGTAATAAACACTTTTTAAACAAAAAATAGTAGAACTTACTAGTTACCCAGTATAAGTCATGGTGTAGTGGGAATCTGTAGGGAGTAGAGTAAAATCAACATTGAAGTGAGATTGGAAGAATGAACTTTATAGTCAGAGTCTGATTTCCCAGTCCTGAACAGAGTAATGGGACTGAATCATATAAAGGCAAGATCAGAGTTTGATTATTATGTATATCTAGCTTGAAAATTTCCCCTCAAATGAATTGGGTTTTTTAAATTTTTTTTTTAGTTGTAGACTCTACCTTTATTTACTTATTTTATTTTATTTTATTTTTTTACGTGGTGCTGAGGATCAAACCTGGCTCCTCATACATGTGAGGCGAGTGCTCTACCACTGAGCCACAACCCCAGCCCCCCATCAAATGAATTGTAATGAACAACCTTTCTTTGTATTTAAATACTTGCCTTTTGTGTGTGGCTATTTTTTATTTTAAAAATTATATTTAAAGTATAATATCAGTGCATTTATGGTATATTATGTTCTATGGAGACTATAAATGGAAAGAGTAAAGATTTCTCTGCCACCTGTATGCATTCCCTCTAGACACTGGCTGTGTGTGTATTTTTTATATATGAATGAATTTTGCCACATGTATATGCACTATTGTACAGTACTAAAATTGATTGGGTTTTTAATATTATTACATTTATAGCTATCATTTTTTTGTTTTAATATCTCCTAGTTTAAAGATTGTGTAGCATTCTGCTTATGAATGTACCATAACTGATTTAACCAGTCCACTATTGATGGACACTTAAGATCTCTCCGTTATTTTGCTCTTACAGACTATACTAAAGGGAACATTCTTTTACATATGTTTTGGCACTTGCTTAGCTTTATCCAAGTGGAAATTCTGGGTCAAGGGGAAGATATTTTTGTTGGAACTGGGGATTGAACCCAGGGGTGTATAACCATTGAGTCACATCCCCAGCTGTATTTTGTATTTTATTTACAGACAGAGGTCTCATTGAGTTGCTTAGGGCCTCAGTAAGTTGCTGAGGCTGGCTTTGAACTCTTGATCCTCCTGCCTCAGCCTCCAGAGCCACTGGGATTACAGGCATGTGCCACCCACCATGCCTGGCTTATCAAACATTTTGGTACTGCAGATTATCCTCCCAAAAGTTGTATCACATTGTGGCATGTGACAGTGTCCTTTTCTCATAATCTCTTTTTTTTTTAATTTTTTTCTTTTCTTTTTTTTTAAACTAAATTTATAACATTTATTTTTTTTTTAGTTATCGGCGGACACAACATCTTTGTATGTGGTGCTGAGGATTGAACCCGGGCTGCACACATGTCAGGCCAGCGCGTTACCGCTTGAGCCACATCCCCAGCCCCTCTCATAATCTCTTTTAATGTTGTATATTAGACAAATATCATTTAATCGGAATTTGCCAATCTAATATGTGAAAATTCTACCTTGTTGTTTATGCATTTTTAAATTTTATAATAGATGTTCAGTGTATCTGATTTTTGAAGCTCTCAAATTTTAATTTGGCTTTGTAAAGTAAGGGTATACTTCATGGAACAATGGATGTGTTTTATGGAAGTTTAATGCTTAAGAGATGTTTGTTACAAAGCTTAAATACACGGAACTTTCTTTTAAATCCCTGATTTTATTTCCATAGGACTGAAAGACTTGCTCGAGATGTGATGAAGGAGATGGGAGGCCATCACATTGTAGCCCTCTGTGTGCTCAAGGGGGGCTATAAATTTTTTGCTGACCTGTTGGATTACATTAAAGCACTGAATAGAAATAGTGATAGATCCATTCCTATGACTGTAGATTTTATCAGACTGAAGAGCTACTGTGTAAGTATATTTGATATGATTTTTTTTAAAAAATGACAGCTCTAGTTTGCCTGTATTTTCTTTAAAGCTCTGCAGACTATACTTATATATTCATTTCACTTGGTTAAAGTGGTATTTTTCAAATATACCCATCAGTAATTTACATCAAAGCAAGTATTATCTTTTTCAAAATAGTCACCTAAGAGGCTATGTACTTATTTTATAGTTTTTGTGTGTTTGTTTTGTTTTTCAAGACCAACTCCTGGGCTCAAGCAGTCCTCCTGCCTCTGTCTCCTGAATGCTGAGAATATGGTTGTGGGTCACTAAGCCCAGTTTTGTTTTGGTGTTTTTTTTTTTTTTTTAACTCCTTTTAAGAATTGCTATTGAGGGGCTGGGGATATAGCTCATTTGTTAGAGTGCTTGCCTCACATGCACAAGGCCCTGGGTTTAATCCTCAGCACCACCAAAAAAAAAAAAAAAAGAGAGAGAGAGAGAGAGAAGAAAAAAGAACTGCTGTTGAGCCAGTCACAGTGGCACACAACTGTATTTTGAATAACTTGAAGCTGAGACAGGAGGATCACAAATTGAAGACCAGTCTTAGCAACTTAGCCAGACCTAGTCTCATAATAAAAAATAAAAAGGGCTGGGGATGTAGCTCAATGGTAAAGGACCCCCTAGTTTCAATCCTCAGGACCAAAAAAAAAAAAAAATGAATTGCTGTTGAGACTTATGGGATTTTTTAAAAATATTTTTTTAGTTGTTGATGGACCTTTATTTTATTTGTTTATTTATATGTGGTGCTGAGAATTGAACCCAGTGCCTCATACATGCTAGGCAAATGCTCTACCACTGAGCCACAACCCCAGCCCCAAGGAATGTTTTTTGACTGCTTACTGTAATATATATCCTATGCAGAACTAGATTGGTTTGGGGCAGTCATAAGTCATGTGGAGCTAGGTTTGCTTAATAAGGTTAACAATTGTTTCCTGGGTGGCAGAAACCAATTTTGACCTGTAATTAGTCTACCTGTGTACAGAATCTGAAATATGTTACAGTATCGACACTGATGAAACAAAATCAGTATGATCTTTATGTGTTAATTTTATAATTCACAATTTCTTGGATTGTGTGAATTTTTGATTTTTATTATTTTTGACTATTACTTTGCTTCTGGTTTCATGTTGCAATTGTATTTCCTATAAATTAAATTTTTCCTTTACAGAGATTTCTCCTAACTTCTTCAAAAATTAGAATAACTCCAGTGTTTGCTGATTCATGAATTAGTATTGTAGTCCATCTTTATAGAAACTCGCCTTTCGTTCATACTTTTATAGAGAGTAAGAACACTTCCTTCATTTGAATTTCAACCTTCATTCTCTCCATTAATCATTTATTTGACTCAAGTCTGGCCTTTTCCACAGTTTTTTTGTATGATCTCCTTTTTCTTCCTAGAAGATAATTTTTCCTCAGTCCTCAGTGACTCAGCTCCTTACATGGGCTTTGGTGGAGATCATGGGGTAGCACTAGCATGTTTAGACATTGGGGCAGGGTTTTGATCTTTTCTGGGCTTCACAAGATCAGTTTCTGGTCACCTAGCTGTGAATGGTGGGGCTCATGCAGTAATGTAGCTTCACATACAGCTTGGGAAACAGGCACTGAGGGACTAGCTTAAGAAATGTCTCCAAGAGACCTTTTATAGCTGTGTCCTCTGCTGTGTTTCACATGACAAACTTCTTAGCAGCCTTTTCCTTGGGCACACATCAAGCACAGGTTGTACAGTGAATAGGCTGCATGCTCCTTCATCTTTTTTGTTTTTCCACCATCTTGGAAGCAAGAACTAAAGTTTTTCCACATTTTTATCAGTTCTATGGGTAATTTGTCAACCATTTAAGTATTATCATAGACCTCTTCTCTATTCTATCAAACCCCTTATACCCATGTATCATGACATTACTTCCTACTTGTAAACTTTTAACTTTCCAAAGCCTTGCTTGAATTAATGACTTATTAAACAAAATGTGAATTCTTATTCAACAGAAATTACTAATTGATTGGTTCATAGTTTGTATTAGGACTTAATTTCTGTCAGTATAGTTGCTGGCATTATAGCTGACCAGCCTTTAATAACATTGTTGCTAAGAGTCAAAAACATGTACTTACAGTCCATGATACGATTTATGTTTTTGGTCTTGTTTAGCCTCCCCCCACCATGCAAAATAAATCATTACTTTATGATTCATATTTGGGGATTTGTGCAAAATGTTCTTTCTTTGGAAAGCAAAAACAAGCAAAATTAGGGGAGTTTCATATTTTTTAAAAATGTTATAGTTATAAAAGCAATTTGGAGCTGTAGAAACACTGAAATTCTAATTCTATCTTCTACATTTAATTTTTTCTACTTTTAGTTTTAGATCTTAGAGGATTATTAAACTGAACTCCTTAATGGATAAAAAAGCATGGAGTCTTAAATATAAGCAAGACTTTTTAAAATTATTCTTAAAAAAAAGTCTTGCTTTTTTTCAGGGGAAAGGGATAAGTAAGACTTTTTTTTAAAGAATTTCTTTTTTAGTTGTAGATGAACACAATACCTTTTATTTTGTTTATTTATTTATTTTTTATGTGGTGCTAAGGATCAAACCCAGTGCCTCACATATGCTAGGCGAACGTTCTACCACTGAGCCACAACCCCAGCCTCAAGACATTTTATGTTAATTTTTGCATAGAAAAAATCCATTATATTTTATGTGAAATTCTGTAAGATTTTCTACTAAACAGTAGAAATTAAGAAAGGTATTCAGATACTCTATTGATTGGAAGTAACATTTCCAACCTATTTAATAATTCAGCAGCTTGTCACAGAAGGTGTTCACATACCATAAAAAATAAAACAGACGGCTTAATTTGATAAAACGATAAAATTAAAATGCTAAATTGTAGCATTAGTAATATTGATGTTAGTATGATTTTATATGCTGATCTTGACCAATTTGAAACAATGAATTAAGGGCTGCCTGATAAGTATTAATCCTAAAGAAATGCTTCATGAATTATTAAATATTCCCAGAATATAAAAATATCTATTAAAATGTCCACACATTATGTGTATTTTCTTTGAAATAAAAATTTAATTTTTCTAATTAATAAAATATTATTTTAAAGATCATACACTTTCTAATATTTTAAAGAATTTTTCTCTGTATAAACACACATTATTATAGTTCATGTACTTGTAGTTAGAATAGCTAGGTAGTATTTTATTTGCCTAGGGACTAGATGAGAAGTACCCTGGGATTCCAAATACCATATTTGATTAAATTAAAGTCAATGTTGGTTAAGACTTACTACTATTTTTTGTGCTTCTAAAAAATAAAACATTTCCAGTTACGCTTATGGTGCCATCAATTGTAATAATGTTGATTTTAGGGGTATTAAAATGTAAATGTGCATCTTAGGACAATGAAAAATAGTGCTATATATTTAATGGCCTTTTAAAAATATTTTTGTAGTTGTAGATGAACACAGTATCTTTATTTATTTATTGTTATGTGGTGCTGAGGATTGAACCCAGTGCCTCACATGTGAGAGGCCGGCACTCTACCACTGAGCTATAGCCCCAGCCCTTGATGGCCTTTTTTGATCCTACGACTGTGGTATTAGAAAAATGAAACAATCCATAGTATGCAGATGTGTTTCTTCTACTTTGAGGTATTTCTGTGGTATTTTTTTACTAAAATAATTGAATAAAAATAATGACACCTTTAAAGGAAGAGCTTTGCAGGGCTGCTAGTGATTGAACCTCGGGCCTTGCATGTGCTAAGAATGTGCTGTACCACTGAGCTACATCCCTAGTCCCAAAACTGGAGTTCTTGTTGCTACCTTGAAGTTTTCAAAATTCCTAGGGATGGACAAACAGGAACAAAGTTCTTTCCTATTATCCTCATTTTTTTCATTCAGATGCCAAAATGACATAGGAAGACAGATGCTGGGGCTAGGTTTGTACCTTAGTAGTAGAGTGCTTGCCTAGCATGTGTGAGGCCCTGGATTCAATCCTCAGCACATAATAAATAAATAAATAAATAAAATAAAGGTATTGTGTCCATCTACAACTAAAAAAAAAGTTTAAAAGAAAAGAAAGGCACTAAGGGTATTTGTAGACCTAAAGAGCTTCTGTGGGAATGAAGGTTAGGTAGTTGATGGTGGCATCCTGAGTTAAAGATAACTTGGACTTTGGCTGAGAGAAGTGACAAGAAAGGATGTTTAGGGTAGATAAAGCAACTTTGAAAGGCAGGGGCTCTCTCCTCACCCATCCCAGTCTTTTCATCTCAGACTTCACCATACTTAATGATGAGGCATTTATGAGGCACCCAGTAAAGGGAGGCAGTGGGAAGCTTGTCAGGGAGGAAAGTTGGTGCAGTTCCCACGGCCAGCCACATGGGATAATTGATTCATGGATGCAGTTTGGTCACTTATACCCATTTTCCAGCAAGTGGACTGTACCATTAGTCTTAAATAATTCTTTTTTATTAAACTCTATTTAAAGGGTAGCTATATTTTCATGAAAAAAAGCCTCAGGAGAAACATAAGTTAAAAACCTTGGGTCCAACAGAAGTGTGGAGATTTGGATGTTATGGAACACTAGTGTTTTGCATGCTTGGAATTCTGTTGTCTCTTGCCTTGTCATTGCAGTCTTTGGAGCATGGGTATTTTTCTAGGACTCTGCACTATAGTTCTTGAATATTTACTCTCATCCTTTTCTCTCTAAAAAATAATCAATTGGAGTTGGACTGTAATACCACATTCCTACAGAAGATGGCAATATTTAACAAGTTTATAGTAGGAATTATTTAACATTATGGACTCTCATCTAAAGCTTCAATTTTTTCCCTTTTTTCCTTTTAGTCAATTCTGTATGTTTGAAATGCTGTTTTTAAGTTAGTTAGAATAAGGGGTATCTGTAATTTCCCTAAGATGAGAGGTAAAACGCAAGGGTCTTTTGATATTGTAAAGTCATGCATTTAGTTTACAACATGGAATAGTTATATGGTGGGTTTTTTGTTTTGTTTTGTTTTTGTTTTTTGATACCAGGGATTGAATCCAGGGGCATTTAATCACTGAGCTGTATAAGTCCCGGCACTTTTAATTTTTTATTTTGAGACGGGGTCTTGCTAAGTTGCTTAGGACCTCCCTAAGTTTCTGAGACTGGCTTTGAACATGCAACCCATCCTCCTGCTTAAGCCTCCTGAGTTGCTGGGATTATAGGCGTGTGCCACTGCACCTAGCATTATATGGTGTTTTATTTTTTATTTATATTTTCAGTGCTGAGGATGAAACCCATCACACATGCTAGGCAAGTGCTTGCTGCTCTACCATTGAGCTACACACCCCCAGCCCAACAGGGAGTAGATTTAAACAAAAATGGTTTCATAGGCAACACACTGGTCTACTACTCGGTCACTTTTGTTGTTGGTTTTGTGTGTGTGTGTGTGTGTGTGTGTTTTTTCTGTTAACAGACATGTTGGTTCTTTTTTCTTTTTAAACCAAGGATTGAATCCTGGGGCATTAACCACTTAGCCACATCCCCAACCCTTGTTATTATTATTTTTTTTTATTTTGAGACAGATCTCAGTTGATGAGGCTGGCCTACAACTTGTGATCCTTCTGCCTCAGCTTCCAGAGTTGCTGGGATTACAGGTGTGGGCCACTATGCCTGTTGGTCTCTTTAAGGAATAATTGTTACAGTGAATATCCTTGAATGTATCTTTGCATATTTGTTAATTTTTTTATTGTATCAATTTCTGGAAGTGTTGATTGCTGGGGTTTTGTTGTTGTTGTTTTTGTGGTGCTGGAGTTCTGACCCAGGACCTCACACATGCTAGGAAAGCACTCTACCACTGAGCCACATCCCAGCCCGCATGTTTACAATTTTAATAGGTAGTGCCATATCCTTTTCAAAAGAGGTTGCACAAATTTATACTCTCACAAATGACAAAACTGCTTGTTTCTCCTCAGCGTATCATCAGGCTTAATTTTGTGTGCATGGATGAGTAATTGAATCACATTCTTTTGGTATTTGTTTTTCGGGTATTTTCTATGCTCTGTTTTTTTGTTGTTGTTTTTTTTTTTTTTAAATAAAGTATCTAATTGTGTTCACTCTTCATCTTCCTGTGGGTTCTTATTTTGGAGCCCAATATCTGTTACAGGTTTTTTTTCAGTTTGGATACATGTCATGCCTAGGTTTTTACCTTTTCTAAGAATTTGAGAAGTTTTCCTACATTTACTTCCAGTCCACTTATGGCTTTGTTTTTTACATTTAGATTTTAATCCATCTGGAATTTATTTTTGTGAATGCTGTGAGGTAGGGACCATACTTTATTTTTTTCAAATGGATAAGTAGCTGACCAAACACCATTTATTGAATAATTCATCTTTTCCTTACTGACTCGAAATACTATCTTTATCATATACTAAATCCTCATATATTTCTGGGTCTGTTTCTGGACTCTACTTTGTCCTTTGATCTCCTTGTCAATTACTGTGCTAGTACTGCACCATTTTAATTGCCATAGCTTTTTGGTATGGTTTGCTGTCTGATTGGGCAAGCCCGTAATCTTTTACCCAAGTTTTCTGTCTTGAATCCAGCACATCCACATTTGATTATTTCCACCAACTATATCCCCCCCTTTGAAACTCCTGAGAGCCTAAGCAGTATGCCTTAAAGGACTAAGACTTAGTTTCCCAGACAGTGCTGAAGATGACCTGGACCTGGTCTAGACTTTTCAGGACATATCCTTGGGTTTAGATGTAATAATAGACCAACCTTTACAACTTGCTTGACTCATGTGATGGTACAGGGCCAGAACCAGATACCTGTCATGCTAATAATTTCCCTTTGGTTCAGAAATGACCATAACTGATGATGGGTGGCTGCTGTAATACTGTCCCCTCAAAAATGGGTGTAGCCTATTTTTAGGATTCTTAGGACATCAAATCAGTAATGGCCAATTAGGACTTTTTAATTTTTACTAATCTCTACTTTAAAGTTACTTAGTCATTCATTTCTGGAAACTTAATTCTTATAATTCATATCATTTAGAATATCATAATGCTGTGGACATTACATAGCTACATAGCTAACTTCTTAATCTTCTAGCTTCCATTTGATAATTTGAAGTCTATGTATACTTAAGATACACATATTCATATATGTTTTTTTTTTTTTTTAAACTAGAATGACCAGTCAACAGGGGACATAAAAGTAATTGGTGGAGATGATCTCTCAACTTTAACTGGAAAGGTATGTATCTTGAAGAGGAAGAACAGAGTATTTTATTCCAAAAGTCAGTTAATAACACTGTGCTTTCAATCATATATTGAGAGGCAATTTACATAATACAACTAAACAAGGGTTATTTAACCCTTGGAAGCAATCTAGGTTAATTATCTTTCCCTATATTGCCAAGTACTGTTCTCTACCTCTGTAGGAATCTAATTTGGAATCCTTCAGAAATTATAGATGGGAGTGCTGGAGTTATTAGCTCAGTGCTTGCTTAGCATGCTCAAATCCCTGGTTTCAATCCCCAGCACTGGGGGGGAAAACCCACAAGTGGGGAAACAGCAGGTTATTTAAATTGTCTGTGTTCCAAAGATAGGTAGGTAGGGGTGAATCAAGGATTAAATGATATATGTTGAGCTTTTACAACAATTTCAAGTAAAAGGTACACTACATAGATTCAGACATAATTTAAAAGTTTTTTTAACTATTTTTTTTAAATCATTGGCAGTACTAGTGATCAAGCCCAGGGCCTCATGTGTACTAGGCAAATGTTCTACCACTAAGCTTCTCCCAAGCCCTTTTTATTTTTCACTTTGAGACAGGGTCTTGCCTGTCAAGGCTGGCCTCAAACTTGCAGTCCTTTTGCCTCAGCTTCCCTACTAGCTGAGGTGTGTGAGGATTACAGCTCAAAGAGTTTTATTAATACATGAAAATTCTTTCAGATATTTTCCAGTATTGATTTTGCTGTCAATTGTCATTTGCCTCAAGGTATTTTTAAATTTCCCCTTTGATTTCTTTAATTCTTTTTATACATTGAAAAATTTTTTGAGTAATCCATGAAAAGTGATGGAATGCTGCTTTTTTTTTAAATTTTTTATTGTTGGTTGTTCAAAACATTACAAATTTCTTGACATATCATATTCCACACTTTGATTCAAGTGGGTTATGAACTCCCACCTTCACCCCATACACAGATTGCAGCTTTTTAAAAAGCTGCCAGTTATTGTTTGCTTATAAGACCTGTGCCAAATATAAAGACGTCAGTCCTGGAAAAGTTTCACAACAACCCAGTAAAGGAGATTTTATCCCCATTTTACATAAAAGGAATTAAGGGATGGAGCCATAGTTTGAAGCAGTATGGAATTAGGAGACAGAAAAACTGTCTCATAGTTCCAAAGTCACACAACCAGTGATAGAGCTTGAATTTTAATGCAAACACTTGAAGTTCTTTCCTTCCTCTGTCTTGTAGATCTTTTTTTAAAATTATATTTATTTTTTAGTTTTAGGTGGACACAATATCTTTATTTTACATTTATGTGGTGCTGAGGATCAAACCCAGTGCCTCATGCATGCTAGGCAAGCACTGTACCACTGAGCCACAATCCCAGTCCCTGTCTTGTAGATCTTAATGGTCACTGCTTATTTAACTGAATATCTGTAAGAAAACTTTAACATAACACACTTGTGTGAAAATCTGTGGTCCTGTATCAGGGTTATGCCAATCTGTTGTTGTCCTCAGCATCTTTTGAAAACTTCAGAGGAGAAATTGTTATCTCTTGATGCTTTTTCTCTCCTTTTCATTCTGTATACAACTGCCAGACCTGTCTTCCTCCCCTTTTAGCATGCTTTGTCCTTATTTAAAAGCCATTTGAAACCCTTACTTCTCTAATCAGTTTTAGCACTGATTATAAAAGGTCTAGCCTTCAAGGCCTTCAGTGATTTGAGTTTGACCTTGCCTTTTCCACTTAATGGGTATGTCCCACTATGTAGCTCTGTGATCTTAAATAGGTCTCTGTTTCTAAAATAACTTTTTGTGATAGTTGCAGTAAAGCATATTTATTGTGGAAAAATCAAGAAATACAAATTGAGTGAAGTTATTTCTTGGTGGTGAGATAATGGGGTTATTTAAAACTTCTGCTTCATTTTAGCTCTTTTGGCAAAATTTATACAGTATACAGATACATATGTATATATTTTCCCCCTTTTCTCTAGTTAATGTTTGATGATATGGGCTCTGGGCCCTAAATATACCTTGTTCAAATCCTTCTCTTCCACTTGCCTATGTTTATAACTTTAAACAAGTCATTTGACTTATTAGCCTCATTATTTTCATTTATTAAGTAGGGATGAAGCTTTTGACGTAAAGTAAGCTCTTAATGTGGCAATTATCATTCTTTGTGAAAAATATTGGAATCATACTCTACTACAGATTTTATATTGGACAAATATTTAATCCCTTTGGACTTTGGCTTGTATAAACCATTTTAGAAAGTATGATTATGACTTAATCAAGTTGTAAAGTGACTTAGTGTTAGAACTAAGGGCTAGAATTCAGTTTCTCTGTTTTATAATCCCATGCTGTTTTTCAAACTGTGATTCTATCCCACTGTGCAAATCACTGCCACAGTGAGCCATAGTTACTGATGGGAATGTGTTATCCTTCAAATATGCTATCTAGGGTAGAGAAATGTTGAGAAAGAACCACATAGTAAGTGGTGAAAGTTATTGGTCCAGTCATTGATTATGTTCAGTTTTCCTAGAGATTTAAATTATAGTGTCTTTGAAGAGACAAATTAGTTGTGATAAGAGAAAAGGAGGGGAACTAGCTTCTTAAGCATCTACTGCTGCAGTACTATATTTATTATTTCATTTAATCCTTATGACTATACTGTGAAGGAAGTATTGTCCCTTTCTGTAAAGAAGAATGTTGAAACTCAAAGTCATACAGCTGTTAGGTGGCAGAGCCATAGTTTGAATCAGGAAAAATCTAACTCCAATGTTTGTATTCCTTATACTACACTGGGATTCATTTGAACATAGCTTTTAAATATATTTTTCCTACCCGTTGAACACGCTAGGAAATAGGCTGCAGTTGTCTCTACTAGCTGCTCCACTGAGGATGGATCAGAGAGTGAGAGAAGTAGTGTGAATTGCCAAAAGTTACAGGCTAGCCTTACTTCATTCTGTGCTTGGACCTATTCAGGCTTGTGAAAGATATTGTCTGCAGTGGTAAACTTCTTTGAGATATAGAAATGTTGAAGCTTTACTTGGTTATAATTTTAATACCTAGAGCAGTGATTCTCTAATCTTTTGTTTGCATCTCCCATCAAGGTAAAGTTAAAAAAAAAAAAAGTTCTAATTTTTCATGTAACACAGTGGATGTTGTGTGCCCTTCCTTGGTAATCACTAGTTTAGAAAAGAATATAGAACATTAAAATTCTGATGCTATAATTGTGTGACAGAGTACAATGACAATGACAAATAAAATGGTGTGGGTATTCTTGGGTCGATGATTATAAACATTATGTGTTTCCTTGTTTCTATAAGAACAGATAGAATGTGTCTCTGCTTTGGGAAATGATCATTAGATGGTATGTTCTCTTAAGGACTCTTCCAGCTATAAAATTCTGAGATGTAGAAAGTAGGGTGAAGGTTTATAGTGGGAGGAAGTATTGATATCTTTTTTAGTGTAGTCCAAAAATATGGATACATCCACATTAGTATAAGTCTAATAGGAAAATGAATTCTAAATTATATTCTATATGGTAAGTTAAACACACGATTTTGGAGTTTTTGTACAAATTACAGGTCCTAGAATATTAGTATCAGAAGACAAATAAGAAGTCAACTAGTTCAAGTTTCTCATTTTACATTTGGGAAACAGACCTAGAGAAATTTCATGTCTTGCCCAAGACCTTGCATTAAGTAAGGAAAGGATTTTATAAAAATGAACACTTGGGTCAAATTTTATTTATAAAAAATTCAGTGTTAAGGACTTCCACATTTCAATAGATGGCCAAATGGTTTCTGGAAGGGCTTGATACAGTCATTAAAAACAAGAATTTGGATAATTTCCTGAGTTTGTTGTCATATAATTTCACTTACTATTGGAAATACTGATTCACTATACTGATTTTTCTTTTTTTCTTCTAGAATGTCTTGATTGTTGAAGTAAGTTTTTACATTGATTTTTAATATAGTGTTTATGATTTTCTAAGTTATTGTGTATCATCCTAAAGGTAAGTCAGGGAAAGAAATTCCTCTTTATTAGTTTTAATGGTGGGCTTGTGTTTTGTAAAGACTAAGTGAATTTTTACTGGTAATGGAAAAAACAGTATATTTCCTCTTTTTGTTGTGAATTTTTTTCTTTGTAAACATGTTACAAGTATACATACAGACACATACACGTACATACATATTAACTTTAGTGTCTTGCTTAAATTTCCTCTTAAGCAAAATTTTGAATGTACAAAAGAATATTTGTAATTTATATTCTATTTTCCATTTGAATGTAATAATAGCCAAATTTATCCATTGTTTACATTGCCAGGCACTATTCTGTATGCTAAAGAAATAAGCATAGAGAGCTTAAGTAGTTTCCTAAGGTTACCAGTAATAAATGAAATTTCATATCATCACTTTCCAAAGCATAATACCTAGACCAAAAGCATCAGCCAGGAACCTACTGAATCAAAACTTTTGTGATGAGGCCCAGCAGGCTATGCTTTAACAAGTCTTCAGGTGATTCTGTTTTGCATGCTAAGCTTTAAGAACCTTACCTTCTCATTAAGGCCTTCCCTGGCCATCATGTATAAAAATCTCATGTTTCCACCCCCTCAATTTATTATCCTTCAGTACTTTTCCCCCTGATCACTTATCACTGTTTAACAGCTTGTATTTACACCTCTTTATTTTTTATCTCTGGTCTCCCTATTCAGATCTTTCTGCCTTACTGAATTCTACAAACTTCTAATGTGGCAAACCACTTGATTACAAATAATCATGCCTCATACTCAGAGCCTGTTCACCCTTTCTTTAGTCTTTAGACTGAATTCTTTTTGTAGCCTCAATATACATAATCAACCTAATTCTCCAATATCTTCCTTTCATTTTCTCTGGACTTGGCACCATTTCCTAGAGCCTTTACCACCATTTTTCTGCCCTTGTTTTTTTTTATTTTTAAATAACTGTTTATGAATTTTTTTTATTTGACCACAAAGAAATTCAGTCTCCTTAGCTATCATTTCCCATTGTCCCCACAACCATCCCCTAGCAATTTGATGAACTACTTTCTGTCTTGAAGATTGGCATATCCTGTGTATTTTAAATATAAATGAACTCTCACAGTATATGCTTTTTGTTTCTGGGTTCTTTCACTGAGCTCAGTGCTTTCAAGGTTCATCCATGTTGTGGGATGTCAGTAGTCAATTCGTTTTCATTGCTGGATAGTATTTAGTTGCATGCAGGTACTACATTTTCTTTATCCATTCATCATTGATAGGCATTTACGTTGTTTTCACGGTTTGTTCCTTATTTCTTACATCTCAGATTTTTCTTCTTCCCTTAAAATTTTTATTTATTCTCTTCCTTCTTATGCCATCTTTAAATCCTTAAAACCCAGCTCAAAAATTACCTCCACAAATCCTTCTTTGACACTTTTTCCCTCCTCATTGCATTGGGCCCTTTTGCTTTTAATTATGAAATATTTTGAACTCAGAAAAGTGTATGTTCAAAACCCATGCATGTACCACAAAAGACTTATAAAAGAAATTATACATAATACACCTGAAGTCCCATTTCTTCACTTTCCCTTCATTTCCAGAGGTATGATAACTGGAAATGTTGATAAATATTCTCGTGCATATATTCATATACTTCCCAAGTACAGATTATCTGGGTCCTCTGCTCAGCGTCTCATCAGGTTGAATCAAGGTATCTATCTCACCTGTGGCTCATGCTCTTCCAAGTTCATTTAGGTTGTTGACAGAATTTAGTTTCTTTTAATTGTAGAACTGAGGGACCATTTTCTTTTCTGAGCTACATCCCGAGCCCTTTTTATTTTTATTTTGAGATAGGGTCTCACTAAGTTGCTTTGGGCCTTGCTACGTTGCTGAGGCTGGCCTCAAACTTGCAATCCTCCTGCCTTACCTCCCAAGTCACTGGTATTACAGGTGTATGCCACTACTCCCAGCAAAAATGTTCTACTTTTTTTGTTTTTTTTTAGACATATATGACAGTATAGTGTATTTTGACATATTATACACACATGAAGTATAACTTATTCTAATTAGGATCCCATTCTTGTGCTTGTACGTAATGTGGAGTGTCAGTGGTGGTATATTCATATATGAACATAAGAACGATAGGTCCAATTCATTCTGTCTTTCCTATTCCCATCCTTCTTCCCTTCCCTTCATTCCCCTTTGTCTAATCCAATGAACTTTTATTCTTCCCTCTCCATTTATTGTGTGTTAGCATCCTTAATATCAGAGAGAACAAAAAAAAATCTTCTAGTTGTGATAAATACCTAAAATTCACTTTAACACAAAGTCATTCTGTATAGTAAAACCTTATTAATTTGAATACCTTTAAAGATGGTACATACAATGTTTCTCAAAGTGGAACTAACTGTATCAGAAAATTGGGGAAAAAATCCCTATCTTGAATTTATGAAGAAAAATTTATAATATCTTTTATAAAGAATGACAGCATCATAACTTTCTAATGAAGCATATGTGTATATATTATATTTGCTGTCACTGATCTCTTTATCGTGCCTAGAGAATCCAATATTGGGGAATGATATTCCCACTACTTTCTGAAGGCCATATGATTTACAGTTTCTAGATTATCCTAGTGTGTAAATTTTGGTGAGACTTATTGCACTGAAGAAAATGTTTTCTCTGATATAAGGAGGCTGATTCATAGTGGGATAGGGAGAGGGGAACATGGGAGGAATAGACGAACTCTAGGTAGAGTAGAGGGGTTGGAGGGGAATGGAAGGGGCATGGGGTTAGAAATGATGATGGAATGTGATAGGGATCATTATCCAAAGTACATGTATGAAGATATGAATTGGTGTCAACATACTTCGTATACAACCGGAGATATGAAAAATTTGTGCTCTATATGTGTAATATGAATTGTGATGCATTCCTCTGTCATATATAAATAAATAAATAAATAATTTTAAAACAAGAAAAGATGGCATTATACTATGGGGAAGTACCAGAACATTAAGGTTCTGGTATTTGGTGTTTGAACAGTGACTTTAAATTTTAAACTATCCTGGTCTTATTTGCCATTTAAATATCTTTTCTTTTTTTTAAAAGGATATAATTGACACTGGCAAAACAATGCAAACTTTGCTGTCCTTGGTCAAGCAGTATAATCCAAAGATGGTTAAGGTTGCAAGGTATGTATGACATTTTGATAAGTATTTTTTCTTCATTTGGAGGATTGATTACTTCTTTGTCAGGGTAAATGTTCTCAGCTGTCATTTTCTCTTCAAAATGCAACGTAATCCCAAATAAGACTCAGAAAATAGCCTTTTTAAATAGTTTTGTTTTGTGTTAACAAAGCCCTTCATTATGGTTACCTTCTTGCCTAATACAGTTATCCCTCAGTATTCATAGGGATTAAATCCAGGCCCTCCAATAACAAAGTCCACATAAGTCCCTTATATAAAATGGCATAGTATATGCATGGTACCTATGCACATCCTTCCGTATACTTTAAAGCATCTCTATGGAAAGACCCTTCATGTCCATGGGTAGGCAGAATTAGTATTGTTAAAATGACCATACTGCCAAAAGCAATGTACAGATTCAGTGCAATCCCAATCAAAATTCCAATGTCATTCTTCACAGAACTAGAAAAAAAACAGACTTAAAATTCATTTGGAAGAATAAAAGACTCAGAATAGCCAAAGCAATTGTAAGCCAAAAAAAGCAGTGCTGAAGACATCACAATGCCTGACTTCAAATTATACTACAGAATTATAAAACAAAAACATCATGGTATTGGCATTAAAAGCAGACTCATAGACCAGTGTTAGAAAATAGAAGACACAGAGACAAACCCACATTATTTAGTCATGTGATCCTTAACAAAGGTGCCAAAAACATACATTGGGAAAAAAGACATCCTTTTTAAGAAATGGTGCTAGGAAAACTGGTTATCCATATAGAATGAAACTAGACCCTTAATTCTCACCCTGCACAAAAATCATCTCAAAATGGATCAAAATCTAGGAATTAAACCAGAAACTATGTAACTCTTAGAAGAAAACAAGGTCAACACTCCAGCATATAGGCATAGGGAATGACATTCTCAATAGGACTCCTGAGGCTCAGGAAATACTGCCAAGAGCTAATAAATTGGATTGCATCAAATTTAAAAATTTCTGCACAGCAAAGGAAACAGTTAGGAATGTGAAGAAAGAACCTGAAGAATGGGAGAAAAGCTTTGATAGATACTCTTCTGATAAAAGATTAATATCTAGAATACATAAAGAATGCAAAAAACTTTACACCAGCCAGGTACAGTAATGGACATCTATAATCCCAGCGATTAGGGAAGCTGAGACAGAAGGATCACAAGCTCAAAGCCAGCCTCAGCAACGTTGTGAGACCCTGTCTCAAATTAAAAAAAAAAAAAAAAATTAAAAGGGCTAGGGATATTGCTCAGTGGTTAAGCACCCCTGCATTCAATCCTTAGTACCAAAACAAAACAAAACCCAAAACTTTATACCAAAAAACCAAATAATGTAATTAATAAATGGGAAAATGAATTGAACAGATACTTCTCAAAAGAACTACAAATGACCAACAAATATATGAAAAAAATGTTCAACATCATTAGCAATTAGGAAACTGTAAATCAAAACAACACTGAGATTTCATTGCACATCAGTCCGAATGACAGTCATCAAGAATACAAATAATAAATGCTAGAGAGGATGTGGAGAAAAAGGAACACATTTACACTGTTGGTTGCAACCACTATGAAAATCAGTATGGAGGTTCCTCAAAAGACTAGGCATGGCCAGCAGCTCAGGAGGCTGAGACAGGGAGATCATGAGTTCAAATCCAGCCTCAGCAACTTAGCAAGGCTGTAAGCAACTCGATGAGACCCTGTCTCTAAATAAAACACAAAATAGGGCTGGGGATGTGGCTTAGTGGTTAAGTGCCTTTGGGTTCAATCCCTGGTACCCCCCCCCCAAAAAAAAAGACTAGGCATGGAACTACCATATGACTCTGCTCTACCACTCTTTACTATTTATCCTAAAGAATTAAAGTCAGCATGCCATAGAGGATAACTGTGTACCCATGTTTATTGCAGTACAATTCACAATAGCCAAGTTATGGAACCAGCCTAGGTTCCCATCAATGGATGAATGGATAAAGAAAATGTGATATACACACACACACACACACACACACACACACACACAATGGAGTTTTATTCAGCCATAAAGAAAAATGAAATTTTTATTTGTAGGAAAATGGATGGAACTAGAGATCATTATGTTTGGCGAAATAAGTCAAACTCAGAAAGTCAAGGGTAGTATATTTTCTCATATGTGGAAGCTAAAGAAGAAAATGGAAAAGTAGGTGTGGGTCTTATAAAAATCAAAGGGAGATTAGTAGAGGAAAGGGCTGGGTGCACGGTCAGGGATGTGAGGGAAGTGCTGGGGAGTGATATTGGCAAGATTATATTGTGTGCATGTACAAACATGTAACAACAAATCCCATTGTGGACAATTATAATGCATGAATGAAAAATGGAAAAAATAAAAATAATAAAGCATTTCTAGGTTATTTGTAATACCAAATACAAAGTAAATACTACATAAATAGTTGTTTCGCTGCATTGTATAGGGGATATTGATGGGTTAAATCTGTATATTTAATACAGATGCAATTTTTTCAATTTTTTTGCTTTTGTTGCATTATAATTGTACATAATAGTTGGGCTCATTTTGACATAATCATACATGCGTGGAATTTAATTTACTCCATTTCAGTCTCTGGTGCACCCCCTTTCCCTCCCCTCCACCCTCTCCCCGTTCCCTTTCTACTCTATTGGTGTACCTTCCATATATATATATTTTTTTTAAATTGGTGCTTTATAAATATACTTAAAGATGGAATTCACTATTATATTTATACATGCATAATGTGTAATTTTGTCAAATTCATTCTGCATTTTCTCACCTTTCTCATCTTTCCTCTCTCCCCCTCAATCTCCTACTCTGTTCATCTTCCCTCTGTCTTTATAATATTCAACACACACACACACACACACACACACACCCCACTTATTTTGCTCTAGCTTCCGCATATGACTGAGAACATTCAACCTTTGATTTTCTGAGTCTGGCGTATTTCACTTAGCATGACATTCTTCAGTTCCATGCATTTACTGACAGATGTCATAATTTCATTCTTCTTTATGAAGTAAAGAATTTCATTCTTCTTTATGAGTAAAACTCCATTGTGTATATAGACCACATTTTCTTAATCCATTCATTTATTGACAGACACATGGGCTGTTTCCATTTTTAGTTATTGCAAGTTGCACTGCTGTAAACATTGCATGCTGTGTCACTATGGTATGCTGATTTTAGCTCTTTTTGGATAAATACTAAGGAGTGGAATAGCTGGGTCATAGAATCATTCCATTCCTAGTTTTTTGAGGAATCTCTATACTGTTTCCACAGTGGTTGTATTAATTTGCAGTCACACCAACAATGTATGAGCATACCTTTCCCTCTACATCCTTGCCAGCATTTATTAATTATATCCTTGATGATTGCCATTCTGACTGGGGTGAGATGAAATATCTTTAATTTTGATTTTCGCTTCCCTGACTGCAAAGATGTTGAACATTTTTTCATGTATTTGTTGCCCATTTGTGGTTTTTTTTCTTCTGAGAAATTTGTTTAGTTTTTATTTTTGTTTATTTTTTGCCCATTTATTAATTGGGTTATTTGGGTTTTTTGACATCATGTTTTTTTGAGTTCTTTATATATTCTGGATATTAATTCCCTGTCAGAAATGTGGCTAGAAAAGATTTGATTTATAGTATTATTTTTTTCAGACATATCTTTATTGATTTTATGTTTGGATGATCTGTTTATTGGTGATACGGATGTGTTGAAATCACCCAGTATTATTGTATTGGTGTCTATCTGGGATTTAATGTCAAGAAGCATTTTTTTATGTAATTAGATGCATTGACATTTGGGGCATAAATATTTTTCAGCCTATGAATTCCTTTGCCTATGAGATGAATCTCTTGAAATGGCATATAGTTGGGTCTTGTTTTTTAATCCATTCTGCCAATCTGTGTCTTTTAATTGGGAACTTGAGACCATTTACATTCTGTGTTATTATGGTTAAATAATCATTACTTCTTGCCATTTTGATTAGTTTGCTATAAGCATTTTATTGTTTTGATTTTCATTTAGTTAGTTGTTCTTCTAGTGTTATTCATCTATTTGGGAGCTTTGTGGATTGTTTTTGGGTTCCTCTGTGGGTCCTATATCATTAAGTTTTCTTTATAGTGCTGGCTTAGAGGTTATGAATTCTTTTAGTTTATCCTTATTATGGAATTTTTAAATTTCTGCATCAATCTGAAAGAGCTTTTCTGGATATAGCAATATTAGCTGGCAATTGTTTTCTTTTAGAGCTAGGACTATCTCATTCCAGGCCCTCCTTGATTTTAGGGTCTGAGTTGACAAGTTAGAAGTGAGCCTTGTTGGTTTGCCTCTGAATGTGACTTGATTCTTTTTTTACAGCTTTTAATATGTCCTTTTTTTCTATGTTAGGCATTTTGATGATATATATGTCTTTTTTGATCTTATATATTGTGGTCCTATATGTCTCTTGTATATGGATGTCTTATTTCTAAGGTGGGGGAATTTTTCTGCTTCTATCTCATTGAAGAGGTTCTTTTTTATTTTCTTTAGTTTTAGGTTGACACGATATCTTTATTTTATATTTATGTGGTGCTGAGGATCGAACCCAGTGCCTTATGCCTATTAGGCGAGCACTCTACCATTGAGCCACAACCCCAGCCCCTTGAAGAGGTTCTTAATGCCTTTAGCCATGTTCTCTTCTGTCCCAGTGATTCAGGTTAATCTCTTGGTGTTGTCCCAGAGTCACATGATCTTTTTTTTCTTTATTGAATATGAAGTATTCAAGTTCATACACTCTTTTAGATCTGAAGTTCAGTTTTTGAGGCTTGAAGTTCTATGCAACCTATAGTGTTAGTGATATTATCAAGTGAATTTTTAAATTGATTTCATTATGTCTTTAATTTCCAGAAGTTCTGATTGGTTTCTTCTCAGTATCTCTGTTTCTTTATTAAAATGATTTTTTTAAATATATTTTTTAGTTTTAGGTGGAC